TTTTCTAATAATTTTGATGATGAATTAAGTCATAAATAGTATGTTAATGTTTCTAGTAATTGAAATTTTAAATATAATTATTCATTACATTTACAAAGTACTTTACAGTTCACAGTTTATTTACACAGACATTATTGTGTGAAATTTTAGTTCTGCCAAGCAAAACCCACTTATTTTTGCCTCTTAGGCATCAAATTTTAGCCTTTTTAACCTTTGTTTATTCCTCTGTCAAATACCTGAGAGTTTCAGAAAGATGAGAGAGACAATGTAAGTGCTTTTCCAAAGACCGAACCCAGAAGAGCTCCTTGTGTTTTTTGTGGGGTCAAGTCAGGATTCCTCCACATCCACGCCCTGGTAGGATTCATTTTTCCTGTACTCTGCACTTGTTCCTGTCCATGTGCCATAAAATACAGAGGAAAGAGGAGAAAGGTTGAAGGCAGCTTTTCACATAGCGTAGAACCATTCCCCCCTCAATTCCAAGGCCCAGACTGAGGGGTTTCCTAACCCAGTCCAAGAATACTGTGATTCAGCACAGTGATTCAGTACTATCCCTGCAAGGCCCCGTAATCATCCTTTCCTCTCCTAAAAGCTTTACTAGAAAACGGGAGTGTCTCCTCCATCAAACCCTTCCTGACGTAGCCAGTGAGAGATCAACATTCCTCTTTCAGCCTCTATTCCTCGGCACAGTTTTCCATGACCTTTCTTATCCCTTATTCCTGGCCCCCCCAATAGATGAGATGGATCTTTTTTAATCTTCTACATCAGTAACAGATGCTTTATGATTGCATGCTTATTAGTTTTTTCCTTAGACTAAAAAATTTTTAGACAGAGATTGACTCTTGATATATTTTTGTTTCTGATATAATAGCTGGTGTGTGCTAATTTCCCAAATAATGTTGACCAACTAAATTAATGAATCAATGGTTCTGGTATTTAACCCTGTTTCAAATGTGACATGTTGTAATGTATCTCCTACAAGTTTGGGAGCTCTTTGAAAGGATTATTATTTAAATCTCTATACCTCTAAATTTTATATTTCTATATATACCTAGCGTGTAGGCCTCTGTGTAATACATGTTCGATAAATGAATGAAGGACAAATAAGTGAATGAATATGTGTACAGTACTATAATGCAACACTTATCAACCCAGAAAAAACCCTATGATTCTGAGAATCATTTTACTGTGAACAGAACAACAAAACCTTCCAACTTTCTCTCTTAGAAAAACATGCTATTCTGAACGAAACATCTGGGTGAAAATTTCATTTGGATGAATCAATTCTTACCCTGTCATATATAAATTTGTTCTCCGGGTCAATGACTAAATGTCTATATAGGTACTTTGTAAACCCTAAAGCACTCTGACAGATATAAGACCCTGATAAATAAAAACAAAAAATTCCATTTTTTCTGGTGATAGGTTGAGGAGAAAACCTTTAGAGCACAGATTGCAAAGACAAGTCTTGTGGACCGAATCCAGGCTTCCGCCTTTTTTCTACCTGGCAGCAGCACCAAGCTCTCACTTAACTGTTAAAGAGTAGTTACATTTATACAGTCCTAAAATTTCATTCAGCCCTTTGAAGTCAACTGAGAGGCTGATGTGGCCCCTGGTGAAAATGAGTTTGACATCCGTGGTTTAGAGGGTTTTTTTGTCAAGTGTTTGTCACTCTTCAAATTCTTCATAGTTACATATGTGTCTGTATATAATTAATCAGTGGTGTAATTTTCCAGCATATTTGGCTCATTTGCTCAGGATATTCTGGAATGAAAAATGTCAAGATGTTAAAATCATAAAATTACAGCCAAGGAAAATGAGAGACGTTGGAGAAGTCAACCTGATTACACAGAATAATAATTTTTTAATGGACCAAATCCCAATCATAGTTTTGGGAATATGTTTTTCAGACTTAGCTTGCAGATTCATGGCTCCTAATCAGGTTATGGATCAACAATCTACAGGTTAAAAATATTGAGGGTAGATGGATGAGAGACAAGGAAGGGAAAGCTCTGTCTTTAGGGGAATTTGTCACCAACTTCTATCTTAAATTCTTGTTGGATAGCTGGGTTGGTGCTTAAAGGAATTCTCTTGATTTTTGGCCTAAAAATTAGCTGAAAGGTAGACTTGAGTGTCCTCAACTGAGGGTGTACCTCTTTGGAGGAGGAAACATATGAAGTTCTGGGGAGGAATATGAAGTTTGGAAAAGATCTAAGGGTGTGTTTGATACCTCCTCTCCCCACAATGAATCACGGATCTAATAAAACCATTTCATTTCACACATGAGAAAAGTGAGGCTTAAAGGGTTAAATTGACTTTCCCAAAATTTCACAAATAGATTCATGGGAACACTGTACTGAAATGTAAGACCCTATCTTCTATTTCACTCTTATTTTTTTTCTAGTCACACACTACGTACGGATTAAAAAATGTCATATTCGCATGGTGCCTGTGTTCAGAAGGCCTTTGCTATATCTGCTGCCCCTGTGTAATCCTATTGTTAATCTGCTTGCTCAACACACTGCTGGGAGGGCCTTAGTGTCCAAAACTCAGGTTCACAGCGAGCAAGAGAGAGGCTCTCACAGATTTTCATCTTCCTTTACTCCCTGCTGTGTGTTCATGGAAGTATTAAACACTCCTTATTTATGGCCCTGGGGCATTTTGTGAGCACTTATGTTCTCCACCGAAGCACAGTTCACTTATTTGCTGAATTTTGCCTCTTTACATGTGCTCCATAAAGCTATCCACTATGTAGATATAAAACAAGCTTATTATTCCTACTACCAAAAATAACAATTATGTTATTGCAAAAGAAGCAGTCTTTACTGTTAACATTGTTTGGTATGAATTCTCATAATTAGAAACAATAACAAATAGAATTTTGATAATTTAAAATTCACATGCAGATAAATTATATTTATAGGGCTTAAGTGTCAGAACAGGAAAATAAAATTGTCTGGTTACTTTTGTGTATTCTCATTGGGATCATCCTTGAAAATTGTGATAGTGAGCTGAGGTGAATCTACATCTATTACCAGTTAACGTTTCTGTAGATTAGGCAGCATACACTGTTTTGCAGATGTGATTACCAAGACCCAGAGTATTTCACAGCAGCAGGCACCGGGTTGAACTTCACCTGAAACTGTGGTCATCTGACACCAGCCCTGTGCACCTTGTGTGCCCTGTTAGAACTGCATGTCATTGATTTAAACAAGGAAACAGGTGCTGAAAGAGAAATACTGTATGATCTCACCTATAAGAGGAAACTAATCAACAAAACAAATAGGCAAGCAAAATACAACTAGAGACATTGAAATAAAGAACAAACTGAGTTACCAGAGAGGAGGGGGGAGGGGATAATAGGAGAAGCACCATCAAGGAACATGTATAAAGGACACATGGACAAAGCCGAAAGGGGGAGGCAGGGGTGGGCGGGGCAGGGGGGGCATGGTGGGGGGAAATGAGAACTGTACTTGAACAATAATAAAAAAAGAAAGAGAACTGAGCTTACAGATTGATGATCTAAGTATATTCTTACGGTAACTTTATCAATAATCATTCAAACAGCACTTCAGAGTTTAGTGATGCCTTAATAATAGAGCACCTAAATAAGGATAACTAGAAAAAGCTTACAAATTACAAAAAAGAATTCTTAGCACAAGTACTAAACTCTATATTATATTCCACTTAAGTTAGAAATGTTAGGCTCATTGATATTATGGAATCATATAAGCTGATTATATGTCTTAAGCCCCATTACACAGATAGGAAAGGAAAATACCAGAGGCGGCTTCTCACAGAAGGACCATGCGTGGTAGCAGGGTCAGCGGGTTCTTGCTACAGTCCCAGCTATGCTCCTGTCTTGTAGAGTAACTTTTAGGCACGTTGCTTACCATCTCCGAGCCTCAGTTTTCTCTCCTGTAGAATGGGCCTAACAACACTTGTCACCATGTGTGTTTCAGCAACGAGCGACAATGTAATGGGTCCTGAACAATCTCTAGCATATTTGGTACCTCAATAGATCACAGCTGTGGTTTTTATGATGATTATTAACACCATTACTAGTATGTCTATTTATAATTGAGTGTATAACAAAATAAGGTTGGAAAGATGTTTTATTACAATCACTTTCTCCCCTTTTAGCACTAATAAGTTCATGCTATTACAGGGAGGGAGCAGTATTACTGGTAAAAAAGAAGTATTTTATTCTTTCTAAAGACCAATTAGAAACATCAACTAAGGGAGGTGGAAATGGGAGGGAGGTGGGGAGCACTGGGGGGGGGTGGGATGGGGTAGGATTAAAAAATTAAAAAACAGAAAACTGTACTTGAATGAAATAAATTTAAAAAATAAAAAAGAAATTAATTTGTAGGACATACAACAAAAGAATAGGTTAGCTAGAGATAAAATTCTTATGTAAGAAGAAGTGCCTGACAAATAGCTTGGAATGTCAAACCTCTGTGCTCCTTGTTTCATTTCTTTGTACCTCAGTTTTTGGTGTAATAGGAAAGGCCTCTAAGATCTATCTGGTACAACCTTCTGGGCTTCTGTGAGATGCCCTGGAGAAAATCATCACTAGCTCACAGACTAGTAAACCAGTCTTTCTGTACCTTGACTTTGGAACTAATAGAGGTACTAACAGAGGTACAGCACGGATCAGTGTCGTCTAGGAGCCTGGGGGAGAGGAGACCAGTCCTACCTTTGGGTTTGGAGGGTTCTCAAATGGTTCCCACGGAAAGACCCGAAAGGCCAGATGCTGAGGGGGTCAGGTGTTAAAACCCTGGTCCTTGGAGTAACACAAAAGACAAAGGATAATTTTGTATGCCTTGATAAGAATAGAAATCACACACCTAGTTTTCTGTAGCACTGCACCAAAAAAATACTCAAAGTCTTCTTCTATACTTTTAAATATAATAAGAAACACATTGGCAATCTACGTGCCAATTAGTATATATTATAGCCTATAATATATAGAACATAAGATCTTTTTTCCTTACTTGCAGCAAAACCAAGGCAAATGCCCAGCCCAGAACTGTTCAGTGGAAGCCCCTGCTTGGATGCCTGTTCACCACTGTTCTGTGAGTTTGGTTATTTTATTATTCCAAGATTGGTCAGATTGAAGGGGAATTATTTCTACATTTTGAAACAGCCTTAGTGGAATGGGCTGAAATACTCTCTGAAATTTGAGAGTAGAGCAAACCTTTTGAAAGAAGAAAGAATGCCTTTTTAGAAGTTGCTGCATGATAAGAAAGAAATACCATTGATTTGGGAGTCTATGCATTTTGTGGGGGAGTTGGGATAATTTGCAAAGGATTTAACTAAGTGCGTTATCAATTATTTAAATTTGGATAGTCATTAAAATGACTATATTTGCACATCTAATTTTCTAAATAGCTGCATATTCAGTAATACTTGATTTTAGGTGCTTTAGGATAAGGATGCTTTCTCTTTTGTCGTTGTTGTGTTGACTGTTGAATAGAGATGAGCATGCGGATTTACAATTTTCAAGTCTTTCTGGTATAATAATGGCATCTGAATTTGTGTAAAATCTTCCATCAAAAAATTTTCAAGTGCCTTAGAAACAAATAGGCTGTAGGTCATTATTTCTGTGTCACAAATGGAAGATTGAAATGCAAAGGAAGTAGGAATAGTGAATCAATTGTAAAGCTGGGAATAGATCCCAGACCCCCTAACTCTTCCTTTATGAACTCATTCCACTACACTGTGCTCATAAGTGAAGAAAGTGGCTGATTTGTATGATATTCTCTTATACATACAGCGCCTGATAGAAATGACAATGGTTCCTCTGCAAACTGTGTATACTATAACCGACAGTGTGCCTGTCGTAAAATAATTTTTGTGTGATGGGGACAGAGTTGGATATTATTTTTGGGCATTCCCCTCTTTGGACTCGCCTTGCAGGCAATGTGGTGTGCAACACCTTAAGTATTCTCATCTGCTTTTGAGGTACAAGCTGATGAAAGGGGCAGACGGACTAGCGTAGTGCAACTTCTGATTGTATCAGAGGGCAGCAGGCCTGGGGAAGCCTACTTTTTGCTCAGATTGTGTGAAAGGAATGTTTTTGTTCGTCTTGGGAAGGAAGCAAAGGTGGGATTACCTCTGATGAAGGAGAGATGATGAGGCCGAATGTGGAGGCATTCCTGCAGTGTTGAGGCAGCCCAGACTTGAGGGAGACTCGCACAACAAAAATGTCACATTTTCGTGAGCAGATGGTCAGAGGCCAGTGCCTGCTTAGGGAGTCTGCTGACACCAGAGAAAGGATGAGTGTTAATCATTCTATTTTCATCAATCACTCTGTTTACCGTATCTCTGGTATTATGTCACAATTACTGATTTATATGTCTCTTTCTCCAAGGAGACCATGTGCTCTTCAGGGTCCTAGTAGACCTACCTCGAGGTAAATCCCCAGTACATGATGGGAGCTCTGTCAGTGATGGCTCAATGACTGAATCTTCAATCTGTTTCCTTTTTACTAAGTTTTAGTAAATTACCACATTTCTTGGTGAAATAATTACACATATACTATTTTGAATTTTAGGTGGGTGGTTTCCTTTTCTCTCCTTCAAGGGTCCTTTTGTACTTTTTTCTTCACAGTGTACCATTAAGTATGTGTTTTGAGGAATTTTGTTTTCAAACTATTAATCAATAAATTTAGTAATTCAGTTTAGGTGCGTAAGGTACCATGCCAATTGCTGAGGCTACAGAGATAAATAAGATAGCATTACGATTAATAAAATATTCATGTGCAACACCAGTAAGAATTTTTGGTTAGTAACTGCAGTCAATATTTTGGTTCCAAATAAAGAAATTTGGCATTTTAGTTACTTTTTTCAATCTTATTGCAAGCAAATCTATTGTTAGAATTTTGTCTTGAGTTATTAAAAATAATTTTTCACTATTACTTTGGAGTTGGATCTGGGAATTCAAGGTTACGTCTTCCTTCATAGAACATTAAGGCCTAAATAAATAGATGAGTACATTTAAGACCCTTCTTGAAGATCACTAGTCAGAAATGCCAATATTACAGTTTGATTCTCATTGTATGGTCTGGTGGGAGCATCAGAAACTAGGTGTTCTCTTCTTGCTTCTGCCAAGGAATTGGAAGCTGCTGATTTCATAGTTTTCCTTTGACATTTCCTTGCTAGTAATTCCATTTCCAAGTGGGGCAGATGCATTCTGAAGAAGTTGTACACCCCGTAATGATCCTGCTTTCTCTGTGAGTCACCCTGATCCACAGCAGAAGGCTTCCAGTGGCTGTGTTACGAGTCTGCCTCTGGCCTTAACAGACCAACCCCAGGGCCGGCAGCTGATCTCAGCTGGCCCAGGTGGACTCTTTCTCCTGGGGATTTGAAATTTTACTAGAGAAACAGCAAACTGGAAGTTGTCAATACTGAGTCAACGTGAGTGACAAAAGTTTGGAAAAATGCCGTGAACCTCCATTGTTCAGGTCCCTAGAGCTGCTCTGGTTCTACCCTTCTGAGGTTTTGCTTACTCAAGTCTCTCTTTGGTTTTGTAAAAAGGTCACCATAACCTGTTGATAATCAATAAGTTACTTTCACTCCCTCAAGTTATCTAGATTTTGTTTGTTCAAGGGAGTTTAATATATCTTGGATTTATTTGCAATCAAAGAGAAAAGCTAAACATCTTAATTACTAACCTTAGTCAGCAACATTTATGGAGTTCCCACTAGAGCTGATGTAGTGGGTAGTCGTCTTAGATGGAAGAAATCACTGAGAATACTGAGATTCTCATAATTTATAATAGTATATTTATGCTAAAAATCTGATTATATACAGTGCTTGGGTACATAAAAATGACAAAATTATAATTTGATAGTGACTTAATCCACATGATAGAATAAAACATATATATAGGTAAATATATAGTTAGCACAAGCATATATCTATATAACAAAAATGTACATATGATATATAGAGTAGTTGTGATACTAATTTCCATTTTTTTTACCTCTCAGGAAATAGAAAATATCTTAGCTTCATGTGTTTAAGAAAATGTCTTGTCTGTCTCAAATTCTCCATAGACTGAAGCAGGTTATAAATAAATGAATACGTACTTACATTCATAATAAATGGGTAGCCTTTGTTATCCTTATGCATTCAAGTTCAATTGATTCTTTCCTACATTCCTTTCCCCAGTGCCCTATTCTTGTTCTTTGGTGTTATGTTCTGGAATGATTGTATTCTTATAATTGGGCTTTATTACTTTTTCAAAGGAGCCTTGGTCTTTGTGTGTGCATTTGCCCCAGGTTCATTTTAAGTGCAGAGCTTTTATCGCTGGTTTTCCTAAGAAGTCTCTCCAAATTGCTTTGCAAATGCCTGTCACCAGTTAAATATTGCCTTGAAAATGGCTTCTATAACTATTTGCTCAGTCTCCTCCTGGAGGCTTTTTTTTTGTGTGTGTGTCTGTGTGACACTCTATACCTCTATAATAATGAAACCAAGAAGTATTTTTAAAGACTTTTCCTCTTATCCAGAACTATAATGTACAGTTTGGGGTTAAAATTGAATAGAAATTTTACCTTCAGTAACTATACAGAAGCCTGGGCATAATTATACTTCCTGAATAGGTATAAATTAAATATCTTCCCTAGTGAGAATAATGACAGTTGCATTACTTATCAATCTCTCCATCTCAGTTACTTCAAGCACTAGAATGTTCCCCTCCTCACCTAGGTACTTTAAGTTAAATAGGATTGTATGCCTTATTAGTTTGGATGATCACAAATATGGACACAGTTGGTATCCTGAACCCCTGCCATTTGTAAACAAATGAGAAGAGACTCCCAGATTCTGGGTCTCAGGGAAGACAGGTAGGTCTCTGAATCTGGAGTGAACTAGGCTAAGAGTTCCTGACACTTGGAAATAATGAACTTTGGACTTGACTAGCTATAGGAGACTTGTGTGGCTGCTGCATTTCAGGACATGTCTCTACAACACTCAGTATGGCTATGGCCTACACGTGAATTTGATCACTTTGAGAAACTCCCCAAACATAAGCCTTAGTTACTGGGAAGTACTAAGAAATGCTGTAATGTGTGATTTTATTGAATAAAAATAGGATCTATAAGTACACATGATTTTTCTAGAATATTTGCTTTGTTTCCCTGCATGTTTAAACATCCCTAATTTGCTGGAAATTAAAAAGAAATAATGCTATGAGAGGTGTTTCTAAAGGTTTAGTTGAAAATAAAATCCCTGCCCTTATGAAGTTAATTATGGATATTATTATATCTATATATCTCTATTGTTAAATAATATCCATCCATAAATATATATGTGAAATGTTTTTTTAAAGGCATGTAAGCATTGGCAAAATATAACATTGCACTCTGAATACATCAACTCTCATTTACTTACTCAAGAAACATTTACTGAGCACGTATTATATGTTGTAACTGACCTTGAATTGCTCCAGGTATACAGGAAATAATACATGTCAATAATTGTTATCCTGAGTAATATATGCTTTAATAATGGTCTATACAAAAATTATAAGTTTGCAGAATGTAAAGTTGTCTTGAGATGGATTTTGAAGACAGAAGATGCAATACTTGGTGACAGTTCAGTATATAAGCTTTAGAATTGAATAAGATTTGCCTTACTCTATGAACTCTGCCACTTACTAACTGTATGAACTTGCACAGTGTACTACTTAATCTCTCTTAGTTTATGCACGCAACCAGATATTTTGAGATTTACATGAGATAATTCATAGCTCACGTTAACATCACTTCTGGACATAGCAATTTCTTGGTTAAGTGGTAATAGGAAAGAAAGAAAAAAGACAAGTCACTCCTGAAGAAAGTGGATGGGGCACAATGAATTGGTGAGAGAGAACACACAAAAATATAGGCAATAACTTGTTAGTTTAGGACAATTTATTTAGAAAGGCTCTTTCCTCAGAAAGAGATTCAGGCTGGGATAGGAAAAAGTTTCAGGAGGTCATATACAACAACTCTTTGAGACTTTGAAAGCAGGAATATTGACTCTCTTAAAAAGAAAGCATTTTCTCTCTGATAGGCAGGAAGTAACTGATG